AACAGAGAATGTTTTATAGCTACAGTCATCCGCAACTTTCATTTTGCCAGCCATTTCAGACGAAATCTCAAAATCGCCCACTCCAATGTATATTTTCCCCACTTTTCAAATGTCTTCAAACGTACGCGGGCAGCTGTACTTCTGCGGATTGGCAGTAAGCGCAGATAAAATAACAAGCGCACTGCGCCCCCTGCTGCAACGGAGCCACAGTTTCACTTCATCGCGTGAGGTTTGATTTTACAATATTATAAACATGACCAAACAGACATAAACACACAATACATACATTTCTAACACACTCACGCACACGAACAAAATCTTTATTGGAAGAAAAGGTAGGCTATTTTTTTACTATAATATATATATTTTATAAAGGTTTAATAGTCCAAAAAGGTTTGTCTTCGAAGACAAAGCGCTTAAATGACTAGCCTACTTGAAATATTATATTAATCATTAATAATATGAATGATACTACTGTGAATGCATTTCAGTCAGATTGGTTACACTACTGTTGTCATTGCTTCTCAACTTCACCGCCACGCCCCGTTCAAATGCGTTTTTCCTCAACATCCTCCTCAAAAGTCACTTTCTGAGTGCCAAGAAACCACCTATTAGCATTTGTTTTCTCACTAAGGACCCTAAAATTATCAGCAATGGATTGAATAATGCGATTGCCGCTGCTTTCAGGCACCACTGACTTGTTGCGCACTTGTTATTTCCCTATAGGCTGCAACTCTCAGTGACTGCGTCTCTTTGAAATGTTTTCTTTTTGTGTTATATCCTCTGCCTTCTTTTTAATCAAAGGAGAAACGATTTCGAGACGTTCGCTTTCTTACAGTTTGGCTTAAAAGGTCTGGGATGTCAAAGTCGCGGTATGAAAATATACTTTAAGCTGTGGCAGGAGAGAGAGAGAGACTTTGATGCAGAAATAATTGAAGGATCTGAACATGATCTCAGCGCAGCACCTGAGAAGCTGCCGGCCACCTGTGCTATGTGTTCAGATACTTTACAGTGTTCTCATACTGTGGACCACAGAAATGGATGGACTCTCCGATTTCTCAAGTGAGTCAATAATGTAATGATGATTAACAATAAGTGCAAATGTTATGGTTGCAATATTCACTAAAGGCACAGTATTTAAAGAGCATATTTTAAAAAGTATATTCATTTCTGTAACATTTTGTTGAATTGTTTCAACAATAAAAAACAAATACATAAACTTACATGTATGGGTAAGTGACAAATGTTTGTTTTCATGATGGTCTGATACATTTAAAAACCTTTTTTTTTACAATAATAATTTAGATTTAATGGCTCTAAAAATGTAACAAGTAAAAAACATCCAAATAATTGATTAAAGCAGCGTAATTGTATGCATGTACAGTGGTGTGAAAAAGTGTTGGCCCCCTTCCTGATTTCTTATTTTTTTGCATGTTTTATCACACTAATGTTTCAGATCATCAAACAAATGTAAATATTAGTGAAAGATAACACAAGTAAACACAACATGCAGTTTTAAAATGAAGGTTTTTATTATTAAGGGAAAACAAAATCCAAAACTACATGGCCCTGTGTGAAGAAGTGTTTGCCCCCCGGTTAAAACTGTGGTTTATCAAAATAAGAAATCAGGAAGGGGGTCAACACTTTTTCACACCACTGTATGTGTACATATATATATATACACACACACTTTTTTGATGTTAAGTCCTACAAAAATCAAAAACAAGTTAATTGTAGAAGAGGTGTATTCTAATTATATTTGGCATTACTTCTGAATTTGCATTTCTTGATGTATTTTTTAATTACATTAAAAATGAATCAGATTGCATTTCTTAATGTATTTTGAATAACTTACCGTAGATCCAACCTCCCCACCTTTTCGTTAGATTATCTGTTTAGGATCATCAACAGTCAATCAGCTAAAGCCTGTGATGGAGATCTCCTGCTTCTCAGGTGTCCACGACACTCCACCATAACTATTCAGTCTGCATTTTATGGACAGAGTGCAGCCCTTCCCGAGATAGTGCCAGGAATGAGATGCCAATGGCGTAATCACAGCTGTTCTGCTACCACAGCACTGCAGGTGAGTAGCCTGTGCTTTGCTTTCAGACAAAAAAACAGACCTTTTATTTTACATGCACTAAACGCCAACTTAATAAAGCCGTTTAGTACCTGTTAAATAGTCCCATGGTGAAAACAGACCTAAGAGGACTCTGTTCTTACTCAATTCTGGCTCAGAAAAGATGTGTGTTTTCCAGAATCATTTCCCCTGCCTTTTGTATAATGCACATTCTATGGTCTTTGATTATTCCTCTCTGTTAGAAAGTGCTCTCTGAATGCCAGGGTCATAGAAATTGCCAGTTTCTGGTCAATCATCAAGTCTTTGGCATAGATCCTTGTCCTGGAACCCCTAAATACCTCCATGTATCATACAGGTGTAAACCTAGTAAGTACTTCCTTCTTTAAAGCCTTAATTGATAATTTCTTCTTCAAATATTTACTTCTTTACATCAGTAAAGATATTTGTCTTACAGCAGAGCACAAGAAGAGAGTAACATGTGAGGGAGATCAACTTTTGCTGCACTGCAAATATCCAAAAGTGCTGAATATCTACTCTGCTGTTTATGGCAGACAGTTGGAGGGGGAAGACTTGTGCCCATCAGAGGAACAACATCCACCATTTGGTACGTTTTTTTGGGTTTAAGTAAGATTTATACTTAATATTATATTGATTTAATGGGACAGTTAGGCCCTTTGCAGTTAGACAATTTGCTGTTAAATTAGTATTTTAAAAAGAAAAAGTTAAATTTGAGTGGTTTAATTCTGATAATTAGGTTTATCAGTGGTTATTAAATGTGTTGCAGGTTTGTTCTGAGAAAAAAAAAGTAAAATGCATAATTTAAATATTGTATTGAGCAATAAAATGATGCATAGTTAGGATAAATAGGCAAATTTTTTATGAATTTCATTAAGTTATTATTATTAAAAGTTATTTTATACATTTGTATATGGTTGAATCTATTGTAATATTCATAATAAAATGTTTGATTTTGAGAACATTTTATTTTTGGTAAGACATTTTAAATAATATTTTCTCTTCATTATTGCAGAATGTCTTTTTCACGGAGCTGTTGATGTGGTATCCAACATCTGCTATGGAAAACAGAGGTGTTTGTTTACCATAGATGAGGAACATTTAAAAAACCCCTGCCCTCCTGGAACAAAAAAGTATATCACTGTCCTCTATGCATGCGGTATGAATGCTCTCATATCCATCGAAATCTTCCCAAAGCAAATGTTTGAATGTGTTTTTTAAATGTCTTGAATTTTCTGAACAGTTACAGTATGGCGTGCCATCTTCACGGCATGGCAGATCTTTAATCGGTTTGAGATTTTAAATCATTGATTGAAAGTGTGGGAAAAGACTAACATGTGGCCTTTGTCTCATCTCAGATTGTTGATTTACCCGTCTGTTTTCTTCCCGTCTCATAAATTACAATGAAGACGAAAAGTTGTTTGGGAATAAAAATAGGGAATGGGTCTGGCATTTGTAGGCCTCAGGGCTTCCTGTGAAACTTCCTGTAATCGCTTTGAATGCCAGGCTTTTGTTACTGATTGGAAGGCAGGATCAGTTCACAGGAAAAATAAAGATTACTCATCAGCTTTGCATTGAAAGATCCTGGGAGATACCGCCTGGGAGTTGGAAGATGTTAACTCTTTGTACTGTGCCTTTTTTAAGTTCCAGAAAGTTTACTCAAGGAGGCTGATCCCAGCAGTTTCCAAACTACCTCAGTTCCTAACCAGAGCACAAAAGAAGGTGACAGTACACAATACAATTTACTTTATATACATATACATACATATACAGTACACCATACAGTTTACTTTATATAGAACATCTGTGCAGTTGAGGTAAATAAACTGTTAAATTATTTTTTATCGTTATTCATAGGGGAACGCCCAGTTATCAGAAGTTCAAAGTTTCCAGAGAACAGGATTATTGTCAGCAATTCTTTAATGGCATATGGCTACATTACAGGTAAACAGAAACATGCCTGGATTCTTTTTTCTTTTCTTTTCTTTATGAGCCCAGTCAACATAAAGCAGCCCAAATGGAGGAATATATTAAAAAATATAGTGGTTTATATAAAATATTTTATATAATTAAATGAGAATGCTAGCATTATTTACTCAACTTCAAGTAATTTCAAACCTGTTTTTAATTTGCCCATGCAATATTTTACCCATGCAATACAAAACGAGAATTTTAAGAATCTTTAAGAATTATATTTTATTTTAAGCTTGACATAGTCAATTAGAATTACTTTTATGTGGAAAAAATCCTCACAATTATCCTTGTGTGTTCCACTGAAAAATAACTGCCTATCACTTTAAAAATAACTTTTCAAAGTTGTTAATAAAACAAACATTACTGGTACATTTTACAAGAAAATACATTTCAGTCCACTTCAAAATTTCACATTAAATTAAATGTGTTACTTGCTGTTTCTTTGCAATTGTGAAATTTACTAGCAATTTAATAAAATAGGAATAAAAATAGTTTCAAAATTTAATCCAACACTAACTTTGTGTAGGCATTTAGAACGACATGAGGGTAATGAAATAATTTTTTACTATTCTTAACAAGTACTCACAACAAGTCACAAGGACTTTTCTTTTTCTCTCAGAGTATCCAGAGATGGCAGGACTGCTTTTCACATCAAGTGTTTGTGTGGGACTTCTGATTGTTCTAATAGCTGTTTCAACACAGCTAACCTGCAGTAGACATCTAAATACAACTAGAACATTCAGGAAGAAGAGTAGAACAACTAATCTGGAAGAGGAGGAGCCAATGAACCAGGATAATGACGAAGAGGAGGAAGATGAGGATGAGAAAAGGTCACTAATGGACAGCTCTAACCTGTCAGAGGTTGGCAGGAAGGTGTATTGCTGGGAAGATGTGACATACACCACAGAGACAGCAGAGCTGATGGAGAGGATTGAGCGCAGAGAGCTTGTGATTCAGGAGATCAGGATGAACGCATACCTCAATGGAAACACATGCATCCTGCATTCATACATGCCAACTATTACGCAGAATGTGCAGTAGCTGTAGTTTCAACCAAAAGGAGTGAGCATTTTGAAGTTAAAGGTGAAGTGTATCATTTCTGTATCACAATGGTCTTCAGACAGGTTTCCAGAGCACTCCCCTCATCTGCTATTGGTCTGCCACATAAATGGCCCGCCCCTAACTCACACTATTGGTTAAGCTAATTTTGCTGTTGTCTGGCAGCTCAAACAAACATACCGATATTTTGATAACATCAGATTCACTGTGCTACACTTTTTGAGTGAAATCAACCTACAAGTCTCATAATAAGCCATGAAAGATGACAAATTACACACATCACCTTTAAAGATTGTCAGGTAAAAAATAAAAAAAAACTGATCTGGTACAGTGTGGACATAATAGCACAGAACAAGCAATACCTGATGTGTTTTTTACTGCCAAAGCAAGGCAAACGTTATTATTCTGTTCTAAAATTCTTCTATTCAGTTAATAAAGTAGCTGTTGTATTACATTTTACACAAAGTAAAGCCATGTAAAGAGAAAAGTATTTTATAAATTATTGCTCTATTCAACACTGGATGAATAATGTATGTGGTTTTGAAAGTCAATACAAATTAAGAAGACTGGTAAAATATTTGTAATTAAAATGTATTATATTTAAAGGTGGAATCATAAAATGAACACAAAAAGATTGTTCTTTTATTACACAACATCACACCTCCCGATACTATAACCTCTCTTTTGCCTTAAGGATACCAAAATGTTCTGTAATTCCTTCTCAATGCTCTCCAAATGAACTCTGTGGTGCGATCCTTAGAGCTGCACGGCAACATCCTGTCTTTAAACAGCATCAAGTTTCAATTGACTTACTGCCAGAGGCACAGACAAAAAGAGGAAAGGTGTTGCATCCTTCTGCCAATAAATCAGAACAGAGAAATTTGATGTCTCTTGCTTTGTATTAACACATTTACAGTCTCATAAATACCTTTCATATGTAATGAAGGCACCAAATTGCATAAAAACAGCAGCGGTAGAGTCTAGAGATCTCTGATTTGCCAAATGGAAAGTAACTGTAGATCAGCTGTGATTTTCTCTGTTCATCTATCTTGGGCCCCATTTGATATTTGTGAGTCCCTGGAACTGCCTTTTTAGAGCTTGTCTGTCTGACCAATCGGACTGAAGATACGAGTCATCATCTCCCTCTTTTAGTTTCTATAAACAAGAACAAAACAGACCAAACAATGATAAATGCTCTAAAATAACAAATATAATTAGACGTATGTTATAATTAATTAATTACACCTATATATATATATATATATATATGTGTGTGTGTGTGTGTGTGTGTGTGTGTAGAGAGAGAGAGTGTGTGTACAACATACAATAAGGATATACAATTAAATCAAAAGAGTTAATTAGAGACCACTAACTTTTAGATCTTCCTGCCTCTTGTAATAGTTCAGCATCATCTTTTTTTGTTCTTCTTCACTCACTGGTGGTTCTCGCGCTGGTGCACCCTGGCCTCTCTAAAATGAAAGTGCAAACAATGGTGATCAGTTTTCATTTCATTAGGTCAAAACATCTATATGGAAATTCATGGCCAAATGAAATTCTTTGAAGATAAGTTTAAACACCAGATTAAGGTAAAAAAACTAAAACTGAAATTCACACCAAACACTTGCTTTCTGAATTTTCACAATAATTTTTGTTTTCTCATTTTTCCCAACATAATCCTGCAGCTTTTTGCCCCTCTGCAGTTCTTTAGACGCCCACCACAGTTGAGCCTCTTCTTCTGGGATCACCTGTAATGAGGCCTGCAGAGGAGAGCCTTCATATCAGTATTGCAGCCTTTGTTATGTTCATCAAACAAATAAAGAAAATTATATTGGTCTGTTTTATTAAACAATGTGCATGTAGTTGCTTAAAGGGATATTCCACCTAAAAATGAAAATTCTGTTATCATTTCCTCAGCCTCGTGTTGTTTCTAATGCAGAACACAAAAGAAGATATTTAGATGAATGTTGGGAACCAAATAATATCGGAGCCCATAGACTTCCATTGTATGAACAGGAAAAAAAAAGGGAGACACGTTTCTTAAAATATCTTCTTCTTTGCTCCACACAAGACAGGAGGTCATACAGGTTAGGAACAACAGGAGGGTGAGTAAACGATGACAGAATTTTAATTATGAGTGGACTAATTCTTTAAGAAAGGCAGAAAAGATTTCAGTTACCTGTGTTCCAGTAAGATCCTCTTGATTTTCAAACTCCATCCTTATTGGATCATGTGGAGGCAGCCCCATTGGGTAAACTATCATCACAGCTCCTCGCAACTGATCCAAAGCCTCTTTGACCATATCCATGGTAAAGCAAACATTCGCTTGCACTTGTTTCTTTAGAGTAAATAAATACATACATCACAAAACAAATCAAAAGGCTAACAACATTTTGAGGTTTAGAAGTATTCTATATTAGAACTAGCTTCATACATTTGAGATTAAAGCTTTGGCTTCCTCCACTGTTTTCCTTAAAACTTCTTTCATCTTCTCGTTTGGAGCTAAATGGAAAGTAAGAGTTTAGTTAAATCAATTAATTGGGCACTTCAAATGTAAACTTTAAATGTGACAGGGCTACCATGTCCATTTCGACGCCCGAGCTCATCCTTCTTAAACTCAGCACCACCGCTGGGAATACAGCGGTCTTCCCATTCATCCTTTAGTTTGAGCTCCATGATCTGATCATCGGTCAGGCCTTGCATATTCAGTGGAAGAGAGATGCCATGATCTGCCAGCTCTGGAATTTCTATGGAGACATAAAAATGATTCCATGTTTTAATGCTATAATATGCGATCAAACGTTTCACACGTGTTTTAGAAATGGACTCTAGTTAATGTATCTGACACTTACACAATCCATGCATTATAGGGAATAAATTCGTCTGTCAATAACATAGACTAGCTGAACCCAAAGAATGTGATGCATTTTTACTATTTTACATCATAAGCGTACATAGCATTATTGTCATACCAGAGCAGATCCTGTCCACTTTTAATCTCCCATTATAGATGGCGCAGACCTGCTGGGTCAGTGTCTCTATCGAGACATCCACTGTAGCACTGAAGAGAATCTGACTCTCATCTCCTCGTTTGACGTGCAGCTGAACCATCTCCCTCTTGCTGAATTTGTCTTGTGCAGGAATGTAATAAATCTGAGATTTGAAGATAAAGTAGATATATAACCACTGGACGACGACAACAACAACAACAACAACAACAACATATAAGTGTTGAGGAAACGCGACTATCGCCTCACTGTGTTTGCGTTTGTTGCCATGACACCCACAACACCGCGCTCCAAGAATATTCTAGCATGCTGTGCGAGCAGGCTGCATAATATATGAGTTTAAGGCGGTAACGTCATGAAATTAATAAAACATGCAATAGGTAGAATTAAAACAAAACAAAAATAATTTCCACTATCTAATTATCCAAATTATACTTACTCTTGATTCAGTAAACTAACAGGACCGCGGATACGGCAACAACAGTAGTGATGCTATTTCCACCGGAAGTGGTGTATCAAAATAAAAGCCCCTCCAAACGCTGTCTAAAATAATGTGAACTTATTCTTCACTCCTTTCTAGTTTACTACAAAGTAATTTAACCTAATTCATTTAACACGATAGTCAGTTTTCATTATGTATTCACAGACGGATACGCATTCAATTATATCAAATACATACATGATAAATATTACATAAAAGACGTACAGATCAAGTTACTCACTGGCTACTGGTTAAGGATTAATCGCCACTTATAAATCAGTGCATGTAATAACATCTGCAAAACCAAAACGACTAGACGCGCACAACATTTTGCTGTTTTTTAATCTCATCAAAACAGAAAGTCAGTATCGTCTCAATCAAATGATCCATACAGTCAACACAATACAAATATATATATATTTGCTTTTTCCAATATTACTGGCACGAAAAACTATCGGAGTCTATCTTTAGATGGCAGAAGTTATTTAAAGCGAGTGAAGACCGAGACAAAACACACAAGTGTATACTACTAACTCTTCAGAATAATAAACTCTTCAGAATTTCTTATAACACATTAAACATTACTTAGTTTATCTGCTGGGAAGATGTTTATGCTCAAATGCCATATTAGTAATACCTTTTAATGCGCTGTCTGACCCATTTTACAAAACAGATCCACGCGTATTACGCACAGACTGATGCAGGTGGAGGCAGCTCGCTATTGGTCACTGTCCGTCCAATCGCTGCTAATTATATTATTTATATTTATTATAATTTTTTTTTATTTATTTTTTATTAACAAGATTAAAATACATGTATATGACAAACACTATACATGATATAAACAATAAACATTATACATGAAATAATCAATTTCACACTAGAGGGGCTGTATACAAATACACATTTATATAAAAATATTAAAGCGTTTACAAACTTTCACCGTTTTAATTGCTTTTTGTTTAATAGAAAATCGTATAGTATCAATATAATGCTCCATTTCCTTCCTAAAAGAAAAAAAACATTTTTTTTTGCATGAGAACTTACATTTGTGAATATGAAATTTTGCATGTAAAAAAATAAGATTTATCATGTAAACGTGACTGTGCTTTTCTTTGCTGTTCTCCAATATACATCTTTCCATAACAAAACAAAATGATTTTCAATATTTTGTACAATAAAATTACATACATTTGGCCAAAATAGTTTTACAAAAGTGCAATGCCAAAACAAATGTACCACAGTTTCAGGGCAACTGACACAAAAGGAGCAACTAAAATCAATATCAGATTTAAATTTTACCAAATAATATTTGGCTGGGTAAATCCTGTGTATAATTTTGAATGATATTTCCTTAACCTTGTTTGTAATTAAATATTGATTAGG